TGCACTGGAACGCTCTCTCTCCCTCTAACTCTCTCCAGCTCACAGAGATTTCATCACCGCCTGGAGAAATGTCATGACTCGTAGTCCACGTGGCGCATGCAGCGGAGGGGGGGAGAAGACTGGAAGCAGGAGAGAAGGGGAGAAGAGGGGGAGGAGGGCAGCTCAGGTTTTCCCCAATATCACGCTCCCTCTCTCAAATGCTGACAGTCACACAGCAAGCCTTCACTGTACCCAATTCAAACACTCATCCAAGTTGTCTCTCTCCCTCCATACTGTCTTTATTATCCCATTTCTCCTCTTTCTCCAGTGCCTCATATTCATACAGTATGCATATAACAACATTCGTGACTTGTTAATGTATTGGGTTTCCCAAGTTCCAAATGGCACTTATTTATACAAGCGTCAAAGCGGCTATATTCCTCAAAGTCTGTATTGAAGTGTATGCCCCAATGTTATGTAATCAAGGGCAACGTTTCAAGTCATGGCCCATGTCTAGACCAGCAAAGTCCAAATTCTAAATAATAGAACGACTTGTTACCAAAATTCTAAGCATTAAGTTTTAGCCAAGGTACAGGGTATTACATTTGGGCAGAGTGATGTGTAGATGATTTCAGTCTTCCCCTGATATAAAGGCTGGCAACCAGTGTTTTGCCTCATAAATCTGGCGGCTTTTGGTCATCACCTCAAACCATTGAAAATGCAGTCATTTAGTCCAATTCTTTCCAGTTGCTGTTCAATGGTAATTAGTGGTTGCCCAATATACCAAGGCTGTGAGTAAGGGAAGCCCCTCGGAGGCAGAAACACAGTTTCATGGGAGCCTAACTGCTCCTCGGGGCACAGACGAACAGCCATGACTGCCTCTTGTAGAGCAGTACATGGTCGTGTTCAGTCGGGACAAAACGAAGAAAGAAAAATACTCTCGAAATAGAATGAAATTGGGAGGTACTATCAGAACTTGAAATGCTAATTTTAATTTCTGTTGCAAAACGTTTCACTACGGTGTTCGTCAATGAACACAACCCAGGAGTCTGCACGGAAGAACCAAAGGCATCTTTCATGTTTTAAACAAGAGGTGGCAACAGATTTAAGACACAATAAATGACAGTCTTTACAGCGAACGTACATGTACTGTAGCTGTTGCCGAAGACATTTCACAGCCAGCATAGATGTCAAGGTGAAACACGCACATGTTCGACCAGCAGCACATATGCTAAGGTCCTTCATGTCATCCTAAAGGAAAAATACAAAAGGTTGCTGTACTGTACTGTAACACACAGTTCTACCAGATGGTTATGTCACGCACACGTTAATGGGGATGAGACACATTCTGTTGAAATTACACCGCTATGTCTACCATGCCTTTCTTTTCCAAACGGAGAGTTATCGAGAGAGAGAAGCGTTTCATAGTAAGGCAGGCCCTGCAGGCCCATTCATTACCATTACAGTATATACTCTATCCATAAGTAGTACTTACTACAACACTGTGTGATGGGTCTAATACTCTACAGGTGTTGTCTAACACTGCGTGCCCTGTGCGTGTCTATGTGTTTCCTATGGTTTTCCTGTCTCAATGTAAACCTGAATGAAATTTCTTGGTTGCCTTGATGTGTCTTCTACAACTGAACCACAGTTTACATCCGAGAGGGTCACTTCCCAGGTCGCTACCCCTCAATGCAAATATAATTCCATGTAATTCCACTTTGGCAATCATTCAATTCCATCGTAATATCTGTTTCTTTGGAAAAACCCATCCATAATGATGTGGTGTTCTTCGGTGGGAAGGAAGGTAGAAGATCAGGTTGTTGATTTTTCCTGAGCATGCCTTTGGAAACCATCTTGTAGACGTTGGACATCACTGTGGTGAGAGGAGGGGAGCCTGGTGAATCATCAGGGGGAGAACGGGGAGGGTAGTTGGGGTAGACCCTCCATCCTGTTAATGGGCGCTGTGGTCTGGCAGCCAGTAAGTAAAGTGGAAAAGCGGCCGTGGGGTTCAGGTCGTGGTACATCATCATGAGAAGGGACTGAGAGGCCCTGTGGGAGGAGGTCTGCACTGTAGCGATCTCCAAAACAAATGATGGAATTTTGGATCGAGGAGCCAGAAAGCAAACCGGTGGGGATGAGGGGATGCGGACAGCAGAGTGCAGTCAGTGTACCCCATAATCTGGAGGTTCCCATCAGTGTGCGGCTGCGGCAGCGGCCTGCAGCTCGGGGCCTCCCCAGATGTATGTCTTCATCCTGCAAGAGGGGCCGGAGGAGAGCGGTATGGTGGAGGAGACGGAGCGAAGAGCTGAGCATGATGTCACCGTTACAAAGGGACGTTTCCTAAACAAAGGGGAGCCTGTGTGTTTGGCAGCCGGGATTAGCAAAACACCTCCGTTCATTATGTAGGAGCTACAGGAGGACTTCTGTGATAGCAAATTGAGCGGTCATGCAGACAGAAACAGTGGCGCTGTAAAGGTGGCAAACATTGTTTTGAGTAACTGTTTTTCAGTCAGATGTTTGTCAGTCAGTGCTCTTGGGGTCATAGCGTGTATTGCAACGCTTCATTAACTGATAGGTTAGAGACACAGTGTCTCATCATGTTTTTCACCTTGTTATTTTTAAACTGTTGTGCACAGCGATGGGATATGTCACAATCACTCATAGGTGTTGTGCCTGTCCAACCCTGAGGCCAAAAACCCCAGTGCTGGTGTTTGTGCAGGTTTAGCCAGCATTGGGAATGTCGGTGTGGGAGAGAGGTTTGAGGAATGAGCGGCTCACGAGGAGCGACATCGGCAGTGAAGCGGAGGCCCCCTGGGCCAGGATCGTGGTGGGGGAGGAGACATCGGATGGGCTCTGGGACTAGTCTCACCTCACCCTACCCCTCCTCCTCTCCCTCCACCCAACCCCAGGGCCACCCGGGCCCTAATCAGCAGGAAGCAGAGTGTCTCTGGGGGTAACACAGCCGAGACACAGCTGCCTGCCTGCCTGGTGACTCCCTGTGCCCTCCTTCTCTCCCTCTTTCCTCTGAACACTCCCTACGCCTCCCTCCCTACACCCTTCCACTGCCTCACTCTCTCCCTCTGCCCTCATCACATCTATCTCTGCATGTGCCCTCTCTCCCTCCATCTCCCTCTCTCCCTGTCCTCCCTACCACATCACTACACACTCACCCATTCTCCATGATTGCACCACCCACCCACCGATTGCCTGTCACTCACTACTTACAACAGCAGGGCACCCTAGGGACTACAATATGCCCTGTCACCCCCATACAGCCTCCCTAGGGACTGCACAGGATGAGTGAAGAAAGAGAGAGAGAGAGAGAGAGAGAGAGAGAGAGAGAGAGAGAGAGAGAGAGAGAGAGAGAGAGAGAGAGAGAGAGAGAGAGAGAGAGAGAGAGAGAGAGAGAAGAGGAGGAAAAAGAGATATGTGCATCCACATCCTACACACGGGGAAGAGATATGATGAAATCCTGTCTTCATTTTGCTAACGTTGTGTGTGTGTGTATCAAGTATTTACCTGACCTTCTGCATTAATCACTCTCTGCCAACAAACTTCCAGTGAGAGGCTTGATTCTTATGCAATTCCCCAGAGATTCCAATTCACTCCAAATGTAATATTAGAGGTGTTAAATTATTGTTCCATAAAAGTAAAAGTAAAAACTGTGAACAATGTGAGTGTGGTAGAGAATATGTGCGTCACTAGAGCAATATTTTAATATTCAATAACAACATCCACCTCAAGGGCTTAATACTTGATAGGGTCCTATTTTAGTTGTTAGTACCTCTTTAATAAAACACATTTTCATTGGAGAACTCTATACTGAATAAAAAATTGACTCCAGCACATGAGTGATATTGGCTCTTTCAATGAATCATTCCTTGATTCCTCACATCCTCTCTCCTTCCCTCCTTCACAAAAGGTATTGGAGTAGAAAATCTGAGTGGAGGGATCTTGGACCTTCTCTAATACAGCTGAGAAGGAGGCGAGGATAAGCTCTGAGGAATCAAAAACGGTCCTTGAAAAAAAAAAGGGCCTCGACGCTTGATGCTCTCAATAGACATTCATCAGGGTTTATGCAGACTTTAGTGTGTTGGAGTTCCTTTTCAATTCACTTCACTAAAGTATCTGTGTAGTAAGACAGTAACTGTCCTTGTCATTACCATCACCCACCTGGGAAAAGTTTCCCACACGTACACACACAGGATGCTAATTCACCACTCCTGACTCACTCCTTAGACCCCCTTATAGGCTGACATACAGCCTGAGTCACAAAGTGATATAAACTAAACTAAATCAAGTTCAGTTTCACCTGTCAAAACACTGAACGCTGGTCAAAGTCTCTCAGTGCAACATGGGATGGCAGGGGAGTAGAATGTCAACAGGGCACTTTTATGTCGTTATACAAAGGGTTTTAATGAAGGGGTGTAATCACTTTCATTTAGAGAGAGAAACTGAAACTTGACAGGCTATGTTTATAACACCTTGTTGGGCGCAACAGCTGTTGTCAGAAGTGAAACTCAGCAGGTTAAGTTGTGTTGAAAACATCTATTTGGAAAAACGGGCTGCAGTGCTAACAACACGTTGAGTGTTTTGGAGAGAAGTAGGAACCATCAAGTTGGACTAAGAGAAGAAGGTTTGCTCAGCCCTTCTAAGATGCAATGTGCTATGCTATACTGTATTTGCTATGTATTTATATTTATATAAGCTATGTGTTGTTATATTTATACACAGTACATATATAATGACACACACACACACACAACAACCCCCCCCCCCCCCCCCCCCCCCCCCCATACACACACTACTGTCTTAGTAGCTTACAAGGGTCCCCACCTTGAGTAAACCAAGATGTCCAAACAGCGTGACGGCCTTAGAGAGAAAGGAGCTCTGTGTTGGGCCGCTGTGGTGAGAGTGATGTGAGCTCTAGAAGCATTGCCAAGCACAATACTGAGAGGTGATGGTCCTGCTCCATGCTAATTGTGTCAATATGTGCAACTGCTAGCCACAGTTACCTCTTACTGCAGTAGGTTGACTCCTGGCTTCAAGGGACATTCATAATAGAGAACAAAAGCACGCATGTACGCATGCACAGGTGCACACACACACACACACACACACCTACACACACACACCCACACATTATTGAGATAGGTACCTGTACGACCGGATGACCTCCGGACGGAGCTTTGACTGCCCCGCGGCTGCCCTCTGTTTCGTAGTGGGCACGGTGGTGGGACTTTGGCTGCACCTCGATCTGCAGACTGTACGGGCCAGAGCAAGATGGCAGCTGCCAATCCAGGGCGGGCAGGGAGCTATGATGAAGAGAGACAGTGCTTGGTATTTTGTGGAACATATTGATAGTATCTATAATTTAATCATATAAATAGTAATCTACACAATAGCCTGGTCCCAGCTGTATGAGCCGTAGCCAACTCTCCTATAGTCATCATTCAATACATGGACATATATGTTTGGCATGACAATGAACGAAACCAGAAAGGAGTTGGATAAAATACAAACAGACAGGACCACCATGCTACCTACAAGCCCGCACCCACGCACGCACAAAGATGGATCCGTTTCACTTAAATCCAGATCTCTGTTTCCCTTGTTAAATAATGTCCTGATCCTTTCCATTTCATCATTGGCTCTAATCTAATCAATTGAAGTCATAGCCTGACGTATGTAATTCCTAAAGCCTGGGCAATAATTGGTTGCTCTTTTGATGAAAACTAAATGAAAGAAGCATGTGGTCTGGTTAGTCTGCTGTGTGTTTTTTATCATGCTGTGACAGGTGTCGACAAGTGGACTCTTAGAAAAAAGGGTTCCAAAAGGGTTCTTCAGCTGTCCCCATAGGAGAACCCTTTTTGGTTCCAGGTAAAACCATCTTTGGTTCCATGGAATCCAAAATGGTTCTACTTGGAACCAAAAGGGTTCTACCTGGAACCAACAAAGGGTTCTCCTATGGGGACAGCCAAAGAACCCTATTAGGTTTTAGATATAATTATTTTTCCTAAGAGTTAGGAGGGGGCATAGGCATTTCAGCAGCACAATGGTACAACATGCCTAAATGCTTAACGTAGATAACCTAAGTGCATTGGTGGTATCAATAATACAAGTAGCGCTATCATCAAATACATTTCTAAAAAAATAATTGAATCCCACATAATCCTTTATTTTTAAATAAACAACGTAACCAAGTAACCAGACAACTGTCTGACACACCCGAAAGACCATGGTATCTCAGAAATTGTCACAGCTGGCAACTCATAATATCATTGTTCAGATGCCGCGAGGGAATTAGCCTATCTTCCCATGTGAAGACTGTGGAGATATTGAACCAAAACAAACATTTGCGAGACAATATTTCACTGCGCCGGATGCCTGTGAAGCATAAAACCCCTGACCTAAAGGCTGGCCATGAAAAGCAATCTCTGGCATCCTCTTGGAACTTTCAGGGTGTTTGTTGACCCAAAACTAACTGATTTCCCCCCTCTCGGTCTTTATCTGTGTTGGCCGAACATTACATCATGTTTAGTGGCCAAAGAGGAGGGGGGGGGGGGGGGGGGGGCAAGACAGCACAGGGAAGCCGGTTGTGTGATTAACCCCACCAACTGTTTCCTTTAGCAGGCTTGTCACCATCACTTCCTGTCTCTGCATTATCTTAATCAAACATTTGATTTCCAACAGGAAAGTGTGCCAGGGCAGGAAAGAGAAAACAGAGAAAGGGTCGCCGTGAACTGAAAAGGTTGCCTTGTTAAGAAGGGAGTCTGTCTGTGTGTGTGTATATGTCTATCAGTGTGTATTGTTTGTGTGGGGGTTTCTATGGTAACAGGGCACATGTGCTACACTACTCCTCTCTGCGAAATATGATTTATGAAATGTTTTGTATCTTCAAAGGGGAAGCCCTTTTGGAAGTGGTACAGCGACTACGTTTCGACTGCTGCCTTTCGCTGTGGTCTTTGAAGAAAAAACTATGTTGCACTTGCAATAAATAAACAAGTCTAATTTTGGAAAAAGACAAGAAAAATGTGGGATGACAAAATAGTGGAGGAACTGTTTTTCATGTGGGAAACTAAAGGAGTAGACCTTGGGTTGGATGTTAGTCCATAAATCTTTTGAAATAAGTAAACACCTCAATGAGCTTCATTGTCTTTTTCAAGGCCTAAAAACACTTAAGAATGCTGCCTTATGTTCTAAGTGACTTCCCTGCCAACGTCAAAATGTGTTTGTTTTAAACTGTTGATAATAAATTATTATACGGTACAATACATTGACCCAAGCCTTCCCAGTTCAGCAGTATTTTATCTCCACCTACCTGAGGTAAGGCTTTGGCTTGGACCAGGAGTAAGGGTGCTGGGGCACGTCTAGGAAGCCCCCACAGTAGCTCTCCTTCTTGAAAGGCAGGCGGGAGATGTAGTCCTCCTGGAGGAGCTCGCTCCCAGGGCCCATCTCCTCTCCTCCCGGCTCCATCTTCAGGCTCATGGTGGGACTGTGGTCTAGGTTGGTCTTGCGGGCCTTGACGGGGATGCCCTCGCCCATGTCGACCACTCCGTCGGTGGTGAGGGCGTTGATGGCTGCCACGATGGCTGAGTTGGTGTACTGGTTGGTGTTGGCCAGCCAGCTGTCGTCTGTGACGCTGATCCTAGGCGAGCCGCGCGGGGAAGGCGTGGACGACTGGTTGGGCGAGTAGGTTGGCTGTCTGTAGGTGGTGCCGTTGAAGCTGTATTTCCTCTTCCCCACGCCAATGCCGCCACCTCCTCCGCTGCAAGCCGGGGAGTTGGGCCTGGAGCTTCCACAGGGCCCCTGCCCCGCCCAGCCCTCTTCGGCTTGGGCCCCGATCTGGGGGGAGGTGGATGGCGAGTGGCGGGGGGAGGTTGAGGGGGGGCCGAGAGGAGCGTGTGGGCAGGAGAGGAGAGAGGACGAACCTTTCGGAGAGACGCAGGGAGACTGCCACGGCGAGTTCTGGGGTGAGTTGTCATAATTGTAAAAGCCGGACTCGTAGGACGACGCATCCGAGTTGCAGCTACGCGATGACACGCTGCTGGCCGGGCTGAGGCAACTGGGGTCGCGGTAGCCATCAGCATTAGGCAGCGTCAGGGTCACGATAGAGTTGACCCCCCGCTTGTGGTGGACGATGTGGTCCATGCTGCTGCTCTCCTCCACCTCCTCCTCAGGGTACTGGTGGTAGGCAGTGATCTCGATGCGAGGACTCTCCAGGGCCGGGGCCCCGTTTGGCCTCAGGCCATGGGACGGGTAGTAGCCCTGGGCTGGGTTGTGGTTGTTGTGATCGTGGAGACCGTAGCCTGTCTGGTGGCAGGAGGACACAGCGATAATGGGGCTGGACTGCAGCGTTTGGTACTGGGTGGCCAGACAGGGGTTTCCCATGCCCAATGGCAGGGACAGGCTGACGTTTGGAGTGTAGCTATATGCATCTGGAAAATACAAACACACGAGGGCATTGTAAATATAGGCCGCTATACAAACAATTTGATGCTTTGTAAACTGCACCTTTTCTCACTTTATCCCTTAAACCCTATGTCTATTGAACTGATCAAGGTCCAATTAAATATGTGAGATATCAGCAGATTGTTAACAGTCCATCTGGAGCTGTGCAGCTCCACTGTGTGCTCGCTAGACTATAGGACCTCCTCCAGCAGAGCAGTGATGGATACTTTATTTGATTGATAGCTTCACTCACTGAGTGAATTAGGGCTCGCCCCTGTTGAACGCCAGCAGCACTCTGCTTTGCTCTGAGATTGTGATTAAGTCAGAGAGTTTACAGCTGCTGAGGCATCACACACACACAGAATAAATGCTCAGATACAAATGGTTGAGCACACATTCACACACACACAGACATGTATACTGCACACATAAACACAAGTACATACAGTACATACACACATGATCTGCCACACACACACACACACACACAGAAATGAGCATTCACACCACACACACAACAGCAGCAGCTCTTTGCCTTAGTGAGCAAACCTCCCCTTCTGTTATGATTTTATATAAGAAAGATCTTTATACCCCGAACATTTACTTTAACCATTTACACAATTGTTACAATATAAGGCTTTCTGTCTGATAATGGTAATTCTACTATCTCAAATGAATACCAACCAAATGTTGTGCAGTGTACTAGAGTAGAGAAATCCCCTTCCAGCTTGTGTGCTATATTTGTTAACCACAACTCTACGCAAACAGCACATCACATGAAATGATGAACCTGTCATGCACCACAGAATACGTGGTTAGACTGTCTAAAATTAGTTCATGATAGATTATTTCCAGAAACAGTGGCAAGTCAAATTCTAATTGTATCTAGTAGTTCATAAAGTTCTTTTTTTTGCGCTCAATGAAGCAATTAACAGTAGTATGAAACTTTATATGGGCACAAACATTAAAGCACATTATGGTGGAGAAAGCAAAGGAAGGTTATGCGAATTTACAATTAACAAAGCTTGCAATAATAAGGGAAGCAAACATAGCTACATTATTACATTTTCTAATATCTGTAATCATAATAAATTACAATCCTAAATGCCCCTATGTAAAATGTTCTGCTAAGCAAAATAGGACTACAAAACATTTATTGTCCTATACTTATTATGGTCTAAGTAGCCTATGTATTATTATTTACACACCAAAAACATGTCAAAAGCATGTGAATAAGTCAGCTCTGACAAACAGATGAAAATAATCACACTAGGCTCAACTGCATAATGTAAAACATACAAACAGAGCAAAATAAATCACCCAAACAGTTTGAGCTACCACAAGTTCAGGAACACACACCAACCCCCATCCAGAGATTCGTCACCACCCACCTCTGTCAGGCCTGTGGCCACACTCTCCCCCTTGGCTGTACTCAAACAAAAAGTTGAAGTCAAACTCTGGTTCTTCGCGAAGGGAGCTCATCCTTGCCTCAGCTTAACGGTGATGCGAACAGCCTCCAACACATCAGCTCTAACTAGTGTCTGTCTGTCTGTCTGTCTGTCTCTGTCTGTCTGTCTCTGTCTGTCTGTTTTGTCTTCTCCTTTTCTCTTTAGAGATGCAGTTGTTTTCTGCTGCTCGTTCCTGACAGTCCCTTCACTAGCGCTGAGGATGCAGATCTCTTTCTCACTCCACCTAATGTGACTTAGAGGAGGGGTGGTACACACCTACTGACTACAGGGCTGACTGCAAGTTGTTTTTCCCTCTTCTCTGTCTGTGTGTGTGTGTGTGTGTGTGTGTGTGTGTGTGTGTGTGTGTGTGTGTGTGTGTGTGTGTGTGTGTGTGTGTGTGTGTGTGTGTGCGCGCGCACTATGCCTCAGCACACTCTCTGTTTCTAACACATGAGCTACATCCACCCACACACATCGGGACTTTCACTCAATTGTGTTATCTCGGCAGATCTTGAACTTTGCATTTCCAGGTTGCGTCTGCTGAATGCTGAACTAACAATGTGACAGATAGCAAATTGGGGCGTGAGAGCTCTATAGAATAATGATATCTCAAATCCAAGAAAAACAATCACTGATGCTCTGTTTCGGTGACCTGCTTTCAGGAATTTTGGAAATCTGTAAATTCATGGTGATAATATTAATACTGTATACACATTTACAGTTTAAAGTGACTCACATAGCATTCTTTTCTCTCTCGTCACCATATTCAAAATGTTTTAACTCTGATTTTGCTATTACCATCCATAAATCCTTTTCCCCAGCACATGGGACCAAATAAATCTGCATGTCTCTAAATATAATCTGGTTTCATCCACACAGACGGTGGGGCTCTGCTAGGCCCAGACAGAGTGAACCTCAGGAAGAGCTAGGTGGTCACAGATAAAGTCATCTGTAGGCTCATAAAATCAGGGGCTTGGTGGCTTGCAATCAGTTACGACGAGCACCTTTTTGTGGCTAAGTCACCGTAGAGAGAGGGGTTGTGTGTGTGTGTGGGGTATAATGGTATAGGCTACCATACTGGGTCACAGAGAAAGGAGTCTGACTGTGTGTCTGCAATACTACAGTTGTCAGCAGACTGGTGAAGCAGAGTGGTTATGCATCTACCCCAGCCAAGTGAGCTACACACAGAAACACACATACACACACAAAGCGCGCACACGAACACACACACACACACACACACACACACACACAGACAGATGTGTCTGCTATCAATTATGAGTCTTACGAGGGACTGAAATGAATAATAACACAGCCCCCACCCGTCCACGTCTCGAAACCTCAAAGACAAATTAAATCCCAAATCCACAAAAGTCCATGACATCAGCACTGGAATACTTCTATAGCCTAGGCTACTTCATGAATGAAGTGTCAAGGCAAATAGAGCACTGTCAGTGAGATGGATGGTCCAAGTATGTGTGCATGCATGATGCAGCCTAGATTTGTCAAGGTTGAAAAGCACAACCATGAAAACATACAATAATATTTTCAATCAACATGGTCAAATAAAGGCATAAAAATGTGGGCTGTGAATGATTGATTATTGACAATAAGGGCATTGTGAAGCCAGATTATATATATATATATATATATATATATATAATAATTATTTATTTTTTTACAAATTAGGGTATCCAACCCAAAACAGCGTTCATTGTACTCAAATTTTGCCTACACATTGCTATAAAATTGTCACTGGCGCACTTCGGGCTCTGGTTATCATATGGACGTCGCTCACCGCTTCAGGTATAGCGCAAAACGCACAGCATCAATTGCGCGCCTAGGAGACTCCTGCCTTGAAAACACCGACACCTATTGGTAGCTGAAGAAACATTCCCAGACTATTGTAGTGTATAACTTAATAATAATATGCATTTCATTGATAGCAAATGACGATTTGAGAATCACTCATGTAAAAATGACACAAGCACTGCAGTCAGAGAATAACTTTTGAACATTGCCACGTCAAATGAACGGAAAATATAGTCTAAATTACGACAGTAAAGCCGGTTACCTTCTTCTGCAGACTTCATCTCCGTAGCGAGAGTGTGAAACTGCAGTCCTCTTTCCTTTCCCAAAGCCGTCGGGAGGGCTGGTCCAAAGTTGAATTTGGAGCTGAGTCTCAAACAGCTGGTATCCTGCATTCAACTAGCGATTGGTCTACTTTTGTGGTTGTGACGGTTGGCGATTATATCACAGGCAGTATCATATGAGAACTGCGAGAAAAAAAAAACTATTTTAGGCTGTAGACATGTGCATTAATCAAAACAAAAATTAACGCATTATTTGTCAATGAAAAATGTAACTCCAATGCTGATTTGAGATTAATTCAAACTCTTTCATCCATGTGACAGCACACCAAGATAAACTGAAATGGAAAAGAGAGTAGAGTATGCGATGCACTTCTCACAAACTCGAGGTAGGTTGATGGTTAGATGAGTTTTGCTGTCGTTTCGTTACGCTTTAGCCCAATTAAGATGTCCAGAGATTCCCGGTGGCTGTGACACAGGGCTTGTCAGAAGGGGCTGGCTCCATTCGTTTTAAAGCTGGAAAACACCTCCTGTTCAGCGCGCCGCCCCTCTAGGAATGACGTTATCACTGCCTACCAGCTCCTTTCTGGAGGACTGACGATGCTTGATCGAGTCCGCCAAGGGATTCCATAGTTGTAGACGTGGGAGGGAGTCGAAAGGTGTTTGGAAATCCTATATATATTATTTTGGAGTTTCATTGCTCACCTTTCAGGTCATTTTGGGCAGTTTTGAATGCAGATAGCCTAGTTTAGGGGTATTCAATCGGGGGTCCGAGACCCCCTAGAGGTCCGCAGAGACACTGCAAGGGGTCCGCAAAAATATATATACAAATTAAAGGAAAAGCGAAAAAAAGATAAATCAATGTTGTTATGAATATCGCTAGCAACAACAGAATAACTTTTTATTATTATTACATACCTACAGTAGAAAATAGGATAATATCTTATCTCTAATGATTTTATTTCTCAACTACTAATATTGAGCAAATTACACTCACGGGAGTATCTGATATAGGCTTTATCGCTTGTTGCTGTTAAGCTTTCTTGACTTGGACATACAGTGGGGAGAACAAGTATTTGATACACTGCCGATTTTACAGGTTTTCTTACTTACAAAGCATGTAGAGGTCTGTAATTTTTATCATAGGTACACTTCAACTGTGAGAGACGGAATCTAAAACAAAAATCCAGAAAATCACATTGTATGATTTTTAAGTAATTAATTTGAATTTTATTGCATGACATAAGTATTTGATCACCTACCAACCAGTAAGAATTCCGGCTCTCACAGACCTGTTAGTTTTTCTTTAAGAAGCCCTCCTGTTCTCCACTCATTACCTGTATTAACTGCACCTGTTTGAACTCGTTACCTGTATAAAAGACACCTGTCCACACACTCAATCAAACAGACTCCAACCTCTCCACAATGGCCAAGACCAGAGAGCTGTGTAAGGACATCAGGGATAAAATTGTAGACCTGCACAAGGCTGGGATGTGCTACAGGACAATAGGCAAGCAGCTTGGTGAGAAGGCAACAACTGTTGGCGCAATTATTAGAAAATGGAAGAAGTTCAAGATGCCGGTCAATCACCCTCGGTCTGGGGCTCCATGCAAGATCTCACTTCGTGGGGTATCAATGATCATGAGGAAGGTGGGGGATCAGCCCAGAACTACACGGCAGGACCTGGTCAATGACCTGAAGAGAGCTGGGACCACAGTCTCAAAGAAAACCGTTAGTAACACACTACGCCGTCATGGATTAAAATCCTGCAGCGCACGAAAGTCCCCCTGCTCAAGCCAGCGCATGTCCAGGCCCGTCTGAAGTTTGCCAATTACCATCTGGATGATCCAGAGGAGGAATGGGAGAAGGTCATGTGGTCTGATGAGACAATAATAGAGCTTTTTGGTCTAAACTCCACTCGCCGTGTTTGGAGGAAGAAGAAGGATGAGTACAACCCCAAGAACACCATTCCAACCATGAAGCATGGAGGTGGAAACATCATTCTTCGGGGATGCTTTTCTGCAAAGGGGACAGGACGACTGCACCGTATTGAGGGGAGGATGGATGGGCCCATGTATCGCGAGATCTTGGCCAACAACCTCCTTCCCTCAGTAAGAGCATTGAAGATGGGTCGTGGCTGGGTCTTCCAGCATGACAACGACCCGAAACACACAGCCAGGACAACTAAGGAGTGGCTCCGTAAGAAGCATCTCAAGGTCCTGGAGTGGCCTAGCCAGTCTCCAGACCTGAACCCAATAGAAAATCTTTGGAGGGAGCTGAAAGTCCGTATTGCCCAGTGACAGCCCCAAAACCTGAAGGATCTGGAGAAGGTCTGTATGGAGGAGTGGGCCAAAATCCCTGCTGCAGTGTGTGCAAACCTGGTCAAGACCTACAGGAAACGTATGATCTCAGTAATTGCAAACAAAGGTTTCTGTACCAAATATTAAGTTCTGCTTTTCTGATGTATCAAATACTTATGTCATGCAATAAAATTCAAATTAATTACTTAAAAATCATACAATGTGATTTTCTGGATTTTTGTTTTAGATTCCGTCTCTCACAGTTGAAGTGTACCTATGATAAAAATTACAGACCTGTACATGCTTTGTTAGTAGGAAAACCTGCAATATCGGCAGTGTATCAAATACTTGTTCTCCCCACTGTTCATTTTTGCCAACACACTAACCTTTGTTTAACCAGCTAAACAGCTGCTCTTAGTGAAAATGTGCTTGGAGTTACCTTTCTAGCTAATATGCTATATTAGAGTTTACACTTCCTCTTCCAATTACAATGTAGGGAGGTCAAAATAATGAAAAACGATCAACTAAATCTATTCATTTTAAAATGTTGATTACTTCTCCTTTCCATTATAATTCACCTGATGATAAGGCAAGACTTGTATTATTATTATATATTTTTTTAACGTATGATGGGGATCCCTGGG